ACGGACAAACTCCACACCAAAAATAGTGACGACAGAGGGATATTCTCATTACTTACATTGGTCTTGCTCTCTGTTCCATGAAACTGTTGACTAAAGACTACTTTTCTCTTATTGAAAAGATAAACAACTAAATGCCTTCATTGAAATTCAAGCACCTTTATTTAGAAGGCAAGTTTCAATTGATTCACTCTTCTATTAATAACCAAATCATCATCCATTGATTAAGATCTCTTTATATCCTCAAATTTATACTAAGAATGGTTACTTGTCTCTCCCTTAGATTATTTTATGATGGGAACCTTCAATGAAACTTCACTTAATCTCCTAGTACCAAACTACTCTTCCTAAGGAGAGTGGCCTCTCCTCAATTTACTCCCTCAATACTTTTCCAAAATGAAGGTTGATTGAAAAGTTATTTAAAACAAATACCCTCTCTCTTGGTGGTGCCAATTTTCCTATGGATTTATATGGTCAATCATTTCTATGGGAGATCATTTGATGTGGAAAGAGATTTAAGCTGTTGCCAAGGCTATGACATGTAAGTTTGCTTATCACATATATAAGGAAGGGAATTCTTTATATGAGCTGTAGGGAGATTCCTGCTACTCTATCCTTAACTTGGCTCCCTATAAAAAAAATGAGTTCAATTATCCATAATTAAACATGGAATATACAAGCATATTTGTGTCATTCCAGTCTGAAGTATTATCAAAACAATTACCAAATTACAATATTCTAATCAAGTTGACAGAATTTATTGGGACGGAGAGAATTCTCTTACTAATATAAATATCAAATCCTTCATCTTTGAGAATTAAGTTAAAGTGGACTAGTGAAATCAAATTTCATTTCAAAGAATACTCATTAAAGCATGTCTTCTATGTGTACATAACTATTAATAAGGAATTAAAACTACAAAAAATATTGCTAGGCATGTCATTACATTAATCCCTTTTATAAACTTCGCACTCAAGCGTTGGGAACTCTTGGTCATATCTCTTTTGGCTATCAACTTTCTATGTGGTTGATTAGAAGTACCTTACCAAATGTCAACTTCCTATTAATAAAGCAGAACTTGCATCAAAATTTAAATGATAACTGTCCAAATTTTTGCAAAGATTACAAGAAGATTTGTTACCTTATTACTTCCATTTCAGTATACCTCATGTCGAACGAAAGGAATCACATAATATATATATATATATATATATATATATCACTTATGATGCCTTCATCGTTCAAAAAAAAATACTGGTTCAATCATATCGGACATCACGTGGAAACTAGAAAGCATCCCTTGAAGTTTCTACTGACATTCGGCATGGCACCGTTCACATCCTTTCACACTCAACATGATATTTTGCATGCTTTGTTATGGTAACATTTTTAGTAAATTTCTGTCCACATTTGAGACTTTACTTTATATTGAAGGCATTTACATACATACCACCCAATTTCAACGCAATTACATATACAATATCTAAATTTTATTTTATGCATTAATAACATCCAAATCATACAAATATTTAAAACTAAGATGATTTTCATGCATAAATAAGATGACATATATATAAAAATTCAAGTTTAGCTAATACATACGAATTGAGTGATATTTATATGAATCTTTATTTATCATTAGTATGACTAGGGCTCTCAAAAAGGCTCGTTGTTCATCGGCTCCCCCCCCCCGTTAACGAGCCGCGCACGATTAGGGCTGTCAAAACGGCTCATTATTCGCGAACAACTCGTGTTCGACTCGTTCGCTAAGTTAACGAGCCGATCACGATTTGTGTTCGACTCATTTTGGCTCGGAATACTACAAATCAATTATATATATACACGATGAGTAATATTTTTTAAAAAATTAATTGGCTTCAAGGCTACAAAAATTTATAATATATTAAAAGTATTAATTAAGAACATAGAATAAAAATCATTAAATTAAATTCAAATGATGTTTTCTTATAAATAATAATTTTTTAAATCTTAGCGCAATCTTTAACATATTATGACTACGTGATTAGAGTTGTCAAAACGACTCTTTGTTCGTGAATAACTCATTTCAGCTCGAAATATAAACGAGCCGAACGCTTATACCCCTAGATATGACCTTTTATTTTCCTCTTTGAAAAGAAAATAATTAAAATTTTCTAAATTCACACATTCTTCAAACCTGATAAATAAATAAATACTTTTATTAAAAATATTATCTGCTGAATGAATTTCATAAATGCGTAATATATTATAATTAAATAATTCCCCTAAAAAACCTCAAATAATCAGAAAATTAAGGGAGAATTCAAACATGCAGTTGGATCTCGGAAACATAAATTTTACCTATCTATTAAAGTCCGGCAGTCCACATGCAGAAGATAATCAAAAAATGAACCATACCAGTGGCTCGAAAGTAAATGCCGATGATTACATTTGATTGCCCATCCAATCAAATCATTCATGGCACGCTTGGTCATATCACACAGCCGCTTAAATAAAGGAGATGCGACTTGTTATCTCTTCCTTACTCATCATTCTTCATTAAATATATAAACAATATTATTATTGCACATTTACATACACAGCACACAATACTTGTAAGTTTACATATTCACTCAGATCACTTTAAATCATTTGGTGCATGGTGTGGCATCAAGGTGCTATATACATGAAAATATAAAAATTTAAGTGTGAGGTATGTAAAATACATATAAGAATCTGACTTGCTGAGGCCTATTTCTCACATATATAAAGGTTTTGTTTGAAGGAGTTTTGTCTTTCGGGGAAACTGTTTCGAAAGTTTAGTTGTGGAATGTGAATCAGTCATCTCCATTTTGGAAGAGTGAAATTCTAATTTTCTTTTGACACAATGACAGGAGATCAGAAAATGTTTTGTCTGTCATATTATTTACAAATGACAGCATTGAGTGTGACAGAACAATCTTCTCAAAGTGAAAAAAATATTACATCCGGATGGTCTATATTCTGATTCGGAACAGATGATATTATTGGATGTGTTATTGATAGTATTGTGGTGTTATTTTGATAAAATAATACTATAATACCACCAGTAACACTTAAATACTATCATCCTCACATGAAACTAAATGAGAACTCATGATATAATTTTTTCTCCTCTAACGGAGCCAAAGACTTAAAGCGTGTGAGCTATGCATAAAAGAGCTTATCAATTTCAAAATAATATTATTATACAGTCTGAAGGCTTTCTCTATCCAAATATTATAACGGGTGCCTTGAAAGTATTTAAATGATAATTTTATTGACACATATGAAGCTTTTAATGAAATAAATTAAAATTTTTTAGAATTTATTATTGAGTTAAATGGAATCCATTTTATATTTTTTTTATTGATACTAATATGTCATCGTAATTTGTATAATGTCAAAGCACACTTAAATTTACTAAACTATCATAGCTCTAGAACACACCAGAGCAACCTTTTGGTTTAGGTCATCCTTAGACTCATCCACATAGCAGTTAGCACTTAGAGGAGGTTTGTGGTGACAAGGCAAAGCTTCTCAATCAATCCAATTGGTGTCTCACCTCTTGAGTGAATGCATAGCTCAAAAATCCCTAAGTCTCTCTCAGTTTTGGTCTTTTATGAAGAGAATGGACAATCCATGTCCGCCTAGTCACATGGATGTGTTCGTCTCACTTAGATGAAGGTGGAACAAACCTTATTGAATTTGGTTGAGAATCGAGCGAGATCTTAACCTTAGATCATGGATGCTTCTTGGGTTATAGTTCATTTGTGATGATGAGCGGATGCCGTCAATTTCCGTGTATTTAAATCAGATGGCGTGGATCGGTTCGGACGACAGAGCAGTGCGATTAAAGAAGCTGAATCGAGGGCATACGTGGCGGTGCACGTTGAAAACACAACTAACCGTGGAGCCACGACACATGGGCCTTCGGAGATGTCGAGGATGAGGTGGTTCCCCATGGTGAAGTAGATAAATCAAGATATTTTGATTTAAATAAATACAAAATATAACTTTTAAAAATCATATCTTGTTGTAGAAAAATCATAAAAAATAAAATAAAAATACATTTGTGCTCAGTGAATAGAGGAGAATTTATTGAACAAAAGTTAGAATATATTTATTTAAATCTTGATTTTTAATTAATTAAATACTTTAAATCTTATTTTAATCATAAATAATTAAATGTTAATCACCATGTAATGAAATTTTTAGGACTTATTCCTCATGTGCTTAGGGATGTTATATGATTTTTCCAATGTCAGATAACACTTATAGCCTTAAAAGCTCTAATTCTCTACAGTAATTACTTTTGTTTACTTAAAATAAGCATAAAAAATAAAATATAAGTTAAAAAAAATTAAAATTAAGTTTGGTAGGTTTAGTAAGGCCAGAGGGATTAAAGTAAAATGAAAGTGAATTTAAAATTAACAAAAAATGTATTTCTGACTTATTTTATTACTGAAACCAATTAAAATTTATAAAAATTAAAATAAAATCCAAAAAGTATGAATACCATCATCCACAATCCCAATTTGACAAAATTGATCCATTTTCACCAAAATCCCCAATTTGCCTTTAAAGACCTAAATTCTCCAATTCACTCCCAATTCCCACCAAATTGATTGTAA